AATCGACATGGTGATTTGTTACAAACTTACATTTATCTTTCAGGAGAGTTGATATGATGATGATTGAGAAGACAATGCAATATACATTTCGAGTTGGATTGGTAACTTATCTTTGTGAAATTACTTATATACCGTCAATGTAAATTTTTTTTTAATCACTCAGATGATATTTATAGATAAATTTCATATATATTTCTTGAAAATAAAACAGATTGCCTGTAATAACAAGTAAAAATATTGATTTCTTATGCATGCAATAAGTATGATAAGTTGATCATGATGTTTGAATCGTTGCATCTTATTAGGACAATAAAACGGAGAACAATCCATATTTGGGTTTTGTGTATACATCAATTCAAGAGCGAGCGACATTTTTTACGCATGGTTATTAGGGAGGAGGTCTCATCTGAGGAAGGCGGATGATAGGATAGCCCTATTTTATTCAATATATGGCTAGGCTAGCTAAAGAGGCCGGAGACCCCGTGCTAGCCCATATATGTGGAATCATTGCATCAGATGAGAAGCGGCATGAGAGTGCCTACACAAAAATTGCTTGAAGTGGATCCAAATGCAACTATGTCAGCCATTGCGCACATGATAAAAAATCGAATCGTAATGCCGATGCACCTAATGTGTGATGGACAAGATTCTAATATGTACGACAACTTCTTTGCCGTAGCCCAAAGACTAGGGGTTTACACAAATCGTGATTATGTTGAAGTAATAGAATTTTTTATAACACGGTGAAAATTGGAAAAGTTCGAGGGGTTGACAGGTGAGGTGAGGCGTGCACAGGTTTTTGTGTGCAGATTTCCACTTATGATCAAGAAGTTGGAAAATCGAGCTAAGAAATCAGAGCCGCGTCGAGTGAAGTTTAGTTGTATTTTCAACAAAGAAGTGAGTGTTTAGAGAAATTGATATGTAAGAAAGATGTAAAACAAAAGCGTCCGTTAAGCTGCTAAAATAAACTTATTTTACATGTATTTCTTAATAAAAGTGTTTTCTGAAAAAGTACTTTGAAAGAGTATAATATATAATTTGTATAAAACTAAATCATTTGAGAAGTGTTTTTATTGTTAGTTTGTGTTTAATCAACAATTTCATAAGAGTCTGTTTGGTATTGTTGCCAAAACTGCTTATTTTTAAAAGTACTTTTTGAAAATAGCTTTTTTAAAAAGTGCTTTTGAAAAAAAGTAATTTGTGTTTGATTAATTTATTTGAAAAATGCTTTAGGTAAGCAAATTGTGTTTGCATGATCGTTTTTAAAAAGTATTTTTGAGAGTCAAATTATGTCAAAAGATAAGCATCAACACACTTTTAATATTAAGTTTATTTTAGGGGAAAAAGTCTGAAATATATCTGAACTTTCACCGAAATTGTTGTAACAATACCCAACTTTGGAAATGACCTTTTACCCCCCCCCCCCGCACTATTCAATAGTGTATTTTAAAGGTATATGTGCCCACGTGGACATCATAAATATTGCATCATTATTAATAGTAATGTGTCCACATGGGCACATATATACATTTAAAATACATTATTAAATAGTACAAGGGGTAAAAGGTCCTCCATAAAGTTTGGTATTGTAACAACAATTTCGGCCAAAGTTGGAGTAGTTTCCAGACCCTTTTCCCTTTATTTTATAGAGAAAAATTATTTTAAATACTAATTATAAAATTTTAATTAGATTTTTTTTATATTAAATTAAAATATACATATTCAGATTTACAATTAATATGATGCTCCCTCCATTTCAAATTAATTGAATTGTTGAGGTATTTCACAACCTTTAAGAAAAAAAGATTAAGACATAAATTAGACATAACTTTTCATTCTTACCCTTATTAATTATTGTCAAATTTATGATTAACATAACTAAACATTAATAATAACTAATTCCAATACTAACTAATGAAGGGTAAAATTGGAAGAATATTCTAAAAATAGTCTTGAAAATTGAACAATTAAGTTAATTTGAAAAATGAAAAATGTCTCAACAATATAATTAATATGAAATGGAGGGAGTACATAAATAAAAGTTTTAAAAATTAAATATTGATGTAATATTAAGATGATGATTTAAATATAATTCAAATATCACGCAAAATAAATTTAGAAATTATTCCATAAATTAGATCACTACATATGAAAAATTCACCACAAAAATAAATAAAGTTCTAATTTTTTTTTTCCCTTTTCTAATCATACAAAAGTATTGTTATTACTTTTTTTCTAATCCTATAAAATAAAAAATAAAATATAAAAGACTGCTCGACTTATAGGATTCATGCGGAATTATGGGCATGAACAATTCAACTCAAAGACTTTATGGGTAACATGTAATAGTCCCATGCTTAGAAATATAATCTCAAAGGGGATTAGGAACTCAATACTCAAGACTTAGAACTTGAAGATACTACTCCTCTCAAAGATACTCAACTTCTGGAGTTCATGCGGAATTTATGGGCATGAACGACTTGACT